GCTGGAATTGTCCTCCAAATAGTTCATAATAGGACCACACAGCATGCTGGTCTGCTAAAAAAGATATAATCTTTTTTGTACATTTGTACATACAGATCCATAGAATGATTGTCATACTAGCTACATAGTTCTTGACCTTATGAAAGTTTGAGAGGAAGAGTTCAGCTTTCTAATGCACTTAAAATCGAGTGTTTTGAGGCAGATTTGACAAAGTTATAGGTGTTTTCAGAAATCAAAAGTTTCTCTAAACACTAATGAGCCAAATTTCAGTGCTTGTTACAGGTTGTAATTGGATGATTATGAAGGTTTATTGTTAGTACACTTATCAATACGGACTGTAAAAATATGGAAAAATATGGAGAGTGAAGCTCTCACCGCAGGGAACAAGATGCATATTTTTATTTATTTTTTGCCCTTCTCCTGGCCTCTCAATATTTTTGTGTATCAATAATTTAATTTTCTGCCCAGAAAATATTATATTTTGTGTAGTGTATGTGTTTCATTGCGACGACCATACTGTCGGAGAAACCAACTGAACGAGCGAATATCAACTTTAAATCAACTAATCTGGACCCACATAAGCTAATGATATCGGCAGCATCGGGCATCAAAATGCAGTTTGGCTCCCAGCAATTGTATTCGAATTCAAATTGATCACTGCATTTGTCTGATAGTCCCATGTGGTATCCATCTGATTTTGTCGCTGGGATAAACATGAGCGGATTCAAGCAAAGATGTCGCAGGTTAGATAAGTTCGAAACGTCTAAGCAGTTATTCCACATTCTGATGATGTACTTATCACATAACGGTTTAGTTAAATATAAAGAGCTTTCTACAAATTTTGGAACAGCTGCTGCCCAAGGCTCACCGAGCAAACGTAGACTAAGTAATTGTTTGATAGATGACTGGTCAAGGAAAGTTTGATCTGCGCTATTTAATGATTCCTTAGCGGTTGACGTAGAGTTGACATAAAGAAAATGAATTATTAATTCTACTACTTCTAATGGGAGCGATTGAGAAGGAGCCATTATTACTTGCTTTATGATTCAATAAGAAAATAAGCAGAGATGCAATCAAACAAAAGCGATAAGTAAGATCGGGCAACCTATCATATATTTATATCAATCATTAATAACTCCCAAAAGTTAATTGAACTTTTGGATTTAACTTTTGAGGCTCGATTTTCTTATCTACGTCAATCAATATGATTGATTTGTGAACACGCGAGACGACATTAACTAATTACGCTTGGCAAAAGCATGAAATACTTACATATAGATGCCCTACTATATTTCATTTCCGTGAAGTAAGCGCTATTCACAAGATGATTTGTTCTTATAATGTATATTGGCAAATAAATATAGTATTGTCTGCTTGTAATTATCAACAAATGCTGGCAATTCATAACCTTGCGATTTACTTTCTGCTAATGAGTTCAATCAAGGTCAATAGTTCCCTTACTTTGAAAGTCTTTGCTGATTCCAAGTTTCATTGCTAGCTAAAGTAATTACAAAATCTCGGGTATCCATACATCAGTATATATCAAACCCCGAATGCCCTGCTAATGGTAGCTCTTAAATCTTTAGACAAAATTTCTGTTGTCCCGTCGTAGCTGAAATTTTCTGGTTTCCATACTGAAATCCTTTCTCTGGATGATTCTTTACTCAGCTAGTTGCATATAAGGCATCTTTCGTTACGTTTTGTCTCCACCTTACCATTCCATGAAGCTGAATATTTGTATTTACATATTGAATCTAGTAGCAATCATTATTGCTACTTAGTTTTTGTTCTCGTAGTATTTTGTGTAAACGTGTTGCAAAACTACTTAACTACATTGTTTCACCAGTATTTACGTCATATGAATCTTCAGGTCTGTTTGAAAATAAGCACAAATTACAATTTGAATTTTAAATTCTAAAAACTTCAAGGTGACGCAAAGCATTCACTACAAATATCAAAAGCGTGATAAAAGAGGATAAAAGTAACCAAATGAAATCTATTTGTATAGTTATTTGTTTAATTTACTGAACAAACATTGACAATTACACCACTAACTAACTCCAAAGTATGAGAACGGAGGATTAGTTTAGGATTGGGATACTTGTGCTCAATGCACTTCACCCGTAAAAAATTTAGAATGTAAGGTACTTAGTACTCTTGATTTTTCAATGTAGCTAAAATTTCCTGTTAAATAAATTTGAACGACAATTAGTTATATTTAGCATTACAAACTGTGTTGAAAGTCACTTACTAATGCTTCGGTGTATTCCAGATTAGACTTAAAATGACAACTAATTCCGTGGCGCTTGAAACCATTTACAAAGGACGTATCCTTTTCGTGATTCTTTCTTCCAGTGATGAAAACGAAATGTTTGAGATTAGGTGGTGTAATAATTTTTGTTTTTCTCAATCCGATCAACGTTTCTTTCCAATAATTTCTACTATCCTTGTAATTCATAATGAATAATTCAACATTTTTAAAAATTGGCCATTCTAGCCACGTTGGAAAGTCATACAGATCATCCATATAACGAATTTGGATAAAACGCAAGTTCGAGAACTCCACTAATCGCAAGTCTTCTCTGATATCATCTGGAATTCCACTGACAAATATACCTTCCAGTGATTCTTTCAAAACTTCAAATAGCTTGATTGACTCGTCCCCTATTAACATTGGCATGCATTCTAATACTTTGATCTTTCTTCCTTCCGTGCTAATAAAATTTATAATTGCGTTGTAGTTGTTTGGGTGATTGAATATCCAAAAATGAACCAAATTTGGTAAACACCCGGCATCCAAACACATTACTTCTAAGCTAGCAAATTTAAGTGACAGTGATTCTAGAGATATTACACTACTCAAGACTTCTGCTAATGACTGACTATCATTGACTATACATGGATCTCGAGCTCCTTCAATGATTAACTTTTTGAGGTTTTTAATATGCCTAATTGAATCTATCATATGATCAGAGAAACCAACAGATTCAGTGAATTTTAACTTGAGGTCTCGTAAGTATGATCCACATAGTAAAATGATATCAGCTGCATTCTCCATGAAAATGGAGGCTGACTCCTTATGTTGATACTCGAAGTCAAGACGCGCGTATTCTCTAGAGCCGTAGTGCTTTTGTAAAGCTTGATATTTCGCTTCCGGAAAAAAAAATATTTGATCTAGACAAAGCTGATGAATGTACAAAATTGGTGTTGAACGAATGCAATTTTGCCACATCTTGATTATGAAACCATGAACCCAAGGGCTTTGCAGTTGTAAACACCTGTAAACGTACGCTGGGATTACATTTGCCCAGGATTTTGAGACTAACCGCAACCCCAGTAATTCTTTTATTGATTGATGATCTAAAAACTGGCTATTGCCGCTGTTACTTCGGTGAATGAGATTTGACTCGCGAGGAATACTATCATAGAAATGATTCATAATTAAGTCCACGATTTCAGTCGGGAGTGCTAGTGAGTTACGCATATTGACTTTCTTAGCTTCAAAACAAATTGTTCGTAAGTTGTTGCTATATTTGGATTCGAGAATATTGATTAACTTCGGGATCAAAGCATTGGAAGAGACGAAATCAGGTGCTCCACTTACGTTCTTAGAGAACTATTTGGGCAACCTTTAGTGCTCGTGAGCTATGAGTTTGAATTGGTAGGAAGCAATTAGCACAAAGGGTTAGCTACATCAAAATCTGAGTGATTGAAGAACTACTACGTTCGTATTATTCAGTATGTTACTAATTTTTACTAATTTCGGCGGCTTTGAAAATATATAATTTGCATTGCTGCCGAAAATATATAGCTATGCTCTCGTAGGATGCTCAGATTGGTCTTTAAGTTCTTGATACTACACTTACAGAACCTTGTGCCGAGGATTTAATGCCTTTTCTGAAGTTCGCAAATTATCAAGAATTCCAACTGCTGAAATATCTATAGCAATAAATAAGTTTTTTCATCCGATAAATGTTCATCCCGACATTCGGTTTGAAATGCTCTTGGTCAATATTAAGTTTTACAAGAAGCTACTACTGAGATTAATGTTAGCTATTTAATGTTGGACGCTTTTTGTAATTGACTTTGGGATAATTGGACAATTTATATCTTATAGCGTCAAAAGAAAATTCACAACTTTGTAGTTGCTGCTCTGCTCCACACACTGCTTTTGTTTGTAATTTTGTGCCTGTATTCAGGTCAATTTCCAAACTGGAATAGTGTCAAGATTTTTAAATTAGATAATGTTTATTAAATCTCACTTTATGATACTGAATTCACTCTAGCTCATATTTATATAACCAAATTTAACACTGCATTTATTACTGTTGATAACAAGCCTTATGATGTTAATTTGAGTTCATACAATATGTAGTGAAAGCTGTACCCACAGGGACACGTACTGGAAGCTAGAGCTCAAAAGAATCCTACAGGAGTATTATGATTTCGTGATTATTAATACATGCTCCCAAAATCAACTCCAATATTTATAGTAGAAGTTCTCGTGTTTAAATATTGATCTATAAGGATAACTCAAAAATTGAATGTAAATCTTACTACATCGCTCCATTGATTCAGCTTTCTGTAGTCTACTCATTATTACTCATTCGCGTAATCCGAAAATATATTTGATTCAATTAGTAACACTGTTTTAATATATTCGTGAGTAATAGCATGCGAGCTTTATAATCACTTCAATAATTTCAGTGATTACTTGAGTTGCTTTACTCTGTATTCCATGGAATTTCAAAAACCCAAGTATTAGTGATTAATAAGTTCGTTAATGTGAGAGAATAATGCTTACAATTGCTAGTTGTCCGTTAATTATTTAAAATTGGGTGGAAAACTATATTTGTAGTAGTTAAACTCATTGAATCGGACGTAATACAAATGTTGACATTAGACGCATTTCTACATCGTGATAGCGCTACGTAAAGTTGGCCATGTGAGAAGACCGGTTTCGGGAGTAGCACAGTTACTCAATCAAGACTTTGACCTTGACTCGTATTAATAGTCATACAGAAAGATGGCATAATTGGGAATTGATAACGGTAGAATGGAATCGGACAATCCTCGCTGCCTTCGTGGTGAAGTTTCATTTTGGGCAAGCTAATTCTTTTTCCTTTTAAATTCCCGGTTAAAATTTGGCATTGTAAAGCATGAGTACTGTAGTCTGTAATCAGCAGTCGAGTCCCATTGCACAGGCCAGTTGCCAGATTCAAATTTCTTAAGATCATAACGCAAGCACCTACTCTGAGTTTCAGAATATGAGCAGGAAACCCGGGGAAATTAAAGGTGTTCAGTACATCAGCTGTAACGGGATCAATAAAGGCTTCATCCATAAGATCAGTTGATCTTGAAGTGTGGTACTGTCCAGGTAGCGAGTTCATCACGTGTTGGTTGATTGAATTTACTGTCTTGTTGAGAGGCGTTATTAAGCATCGCCCTGCGTAGAAATCGGTTAAGGCAGGCCAATTCTCGTTCTCAATTAAGTTTTGAACTCCGCCATATTCAACTTCAAGTAGTTGCGCATCGTACAGGTTCGGTGGTCGTATGAATGAAACATTACAGTATTCGAGAGGAATGTTGGCTATGTGATCACGTTGAAGGCGCCCAGATCCCAATTCCAGCAGCCACTTCCCAAATGTGATGTTGCCTGGTTCAGGAAGTGCAGATAGTCCACCTAATCTGATGTTGGTTGTGAGGCCGAAGTGATGAATAGAATCCCAAAGAAACGAAGCTTTCAAAGAAGCCTGCGCCTGTTCCATCAGATTTCCCCGTCGTACAATTGGCAGAGTTTGCCGAAAATCCCCTGCAAAGAGGACAACTTTCCCCCCAAATGGCAAGTCTATTCCGGTTAACTCTCGAAGAGTTCGGTCCACGCTTTCGACTGCGTACTTATGCTGCATTGCCACTTCATCCCATACGATGAAATGTGTATTAATGATCTCGTATGAAGCCATATCTCCAAATGATATATTGCATGTCGAATCATCGTGCACCGGGATCGGAATTTTAAAGGCGCTGTGTGCTGTGCGACCACGTAATAGTAATAAAGATGAAATTCCGGCTGCTGACACGGCTTCGAAAGGTATTTGATTCGCGTTGCAAAAGTGTAAGATGCAGTTCAGGACAAAAGTTTTGCCTGTTCCGCCTGGTCCATCAAGAAATGCCAAATAAGGTCTATGATCAACAATAGCTTCACATATGGCAAAAACAACTGCTGTTTGTTCGGTGGTCATTGTTTGTAACATTGAAGAATATTTTTGTTGGCTTTCTTCGGATGTAGTTGAGTTTGTTTGAATCTCGTGATCTCCATCTGGCAAATCTAATTCCAGGAGCAATTGTGTATTGACTGGTGGCAAGTCTAGATCTACAAGGGTAGATTGCATTTCAATTATTACCTTTTCTAATAGATAGAGTCCATAATTGTGGATTTGTTGTTCAGTAGGGCGAGCTCGATGATTTAATCTTCTAATCCGCGCGTCGCAATCGTCAGTTAGGTCTGTTATGTGGTCTAACCATAGATTTCGAGGCGTAGCTGGTGAACTATGTATAAGGATAATGGCGAGCATATGTCGTAGTTGGTGACCAGTTTGCCACACTGCTGCTTTGGTGAGCGAGGCGTGGTAATGATGGTCACTGAGTAATAGACCACGTCTGTCAGCAGCTTCACGGAAGCTGCTGAGCAGAACTCCATCAACAGTTCGTAGGTGATCAAATGATAAAGGCCCAGGAACATGAGACAAGAGTAGACGTAAATAATAAACTTCGCCACGTTTGATATTCGCAAAGTAAACACGTCCGACTGAGACTACTGAATTGCGTCGAGGTTGCAAACGTTTTTTCTCTTCATTCCACGTGAAAAATTTTGGGACTTGTTGGTATTTCAGAGATCGGATTGTTCGGTCAGATCCTCTCAATGGAGCATTTTCTCTACATAACCTGAAGAATTCCGTAAGTGTGGTTCTCTCTGCCCGACCACTTTCAATAGCTCTTCGCAGCCCAACTTTGTCAATAAAGTAAATAGTTTGTCGATCTTCAAGGTGCAGACTCAAACGCTGAACTGCAGGATGTCGGCCAGAAAGCTCAAATTTTAATAAACACCAAATAGCTAATAAGGATGAAAACATTTGTTAGCGGATTTTGTATTATACTTTACTTGTTTAAGTAGCCAAATACATACCTTCTATAGCTGATAAAAACCGTGCATTTACAAAAGTTAGTATTTCGTCATCCTTATTTGGGTCGTCAACTGTCGCAATAGTTCTATCGTGCCCCTTCAGAATGTATTTAAATAAATACTTTATTGCTCTGATAGATGCTGCGACTTCAACATTTATGTGACACTCATATTTCAGTGTTAGGAATCTATTGTACGGAACCACATTTTGATTATTATAGTGATTTTCACCCTTATCAAAAAAGCGCCCGTTGTTGCGTCTTTTGTAAGTTGGATAGGCATCTTCTGCAAGTTCTGTTGTTTCACAAAAGGGACGCGGATATCCCAATTGACAGTTGGTGCCGTTCCAACATTTGTATCGCTGGCAGGGTCCGTGTAGCATAAATTGGGTAACCAACTCGAAAAGTTTAGTTTCGGTATTAGGATCCGGTAGTTTGGCACTTATTATACAATCTATAAGTTCAGGTCTAGTTGGCTTATCCGCTGAGTCGAGAAACAAAATAAGATGAACGTGAGGCAGGCCTCTTTTCTGAAATTCAACTGTGTAAACGTAGGCGCAGCACTGGCCAAATCGCTCCTGCTTTGTTATATCGTCTAGTAGTGAGTGAAATTTAGTGTGAAAGACACGAGCAACTAAATCCGGGCGATCCTCTGGTAATTGACCGTACTCTAATGTGTCGACAATTTCTGGCCATTGGGGATTAGCTGTCATTGTAATGAATAAACTTGGGTGCCCGAATTCTGCTACTAAGGTCATAGCATCTTGATACAATTGCTGCATATGCCTTGGACCACCGATAAAACTTGATGGTAAGATTATGCGTCGCCCTACAACTTCATCATCCATTTCATTTCCCAGTGCTTCTACAGCTTCTTGATACATCTCAGCTCGTAATTCCCTTTGGTGAAATTGTAGATACTGGAGTCGGGAATGTTCGACACAGACATACATGTCTACGGCGAATTCCTGAAAGAGACGCCCCAAAGCAAGTATGATTGAGAAAGTAGGGCGCTGAAATAACAAATAAGCAAACCATTCAAGATTTGATACTTCGCCTGTGGGTCCTGAGTTCGAAAGTGAAGTGTAAGTCAGTTTTAATTCGTCTAACTTTGAGCTGTGCTTCGTTACAGGCAAATACACGAAAAATACTAACTTGCATCCGTTGGATTTATGAAATTCTCATGCCACGTTTGTGAACCGTAAGGGAATAATAAAGGATATCGCAGCGCGAAGTACGCGGTGTGAAGCTCTGAGATCCTCTGTCTGGCTCCGCACTGTCGTTCAAGTATTATATGGTGTTGATGAACTCCAATTTGGCCATTTCCTTTGATTATAGCCGCGACTTCATTAGCAGTTGGTCGGTTGTAGCGTCTATGGTCGGTCCCAGCTGCAGTTATGGTGTTGATTCTAAGTTGGGAAGTATTCTCATCTTGGCAGATAATAGCAGCTGATCGAAAGACTTCTGTATAAGGATTATGTAAGTTCATGAAATGCTGGAAGAGTCGAAGGATTTGAGGATTCAGTTCGTTATTGAAATGTGCATTTCGAGTTTGAACTTCAGCTTCACCACCCCCGCCATATATGAATATTTGGGCAAATCCGGGGTGATCTCCCGGTAATGGCATTAGAGAACCAATGTTGTGAGACATCTGACCCGAAATTCTAAATACGTAAACGCCACGTTGTCCCATCACCGATCTATTGATTTTAGCTCCCAGTGAGGTAAAAGACATGGCGTTATTATATTTTCGAATATTAGATCGGAACTCCTTTGAGACTGATTTGCGAATGTTAGTTTCATAGATTTCTTAGAAGTGAGCCAAGTACTTACTATCGTCTTGCCTCGTGAGTAAAGCATGGTAGAACGGAGGGACCTCTTGTTCTACGTCGTTTGCGAAGTAGCACATCGGAAGTTCAACCTGTCCGTGTTGGCAGCAGTTTCCGTAAGTTGAATGAAGTAGGTTCCTATCCTTGACTCTTCTTTCAATTACCCATCTAAGAGCTTCGCATCCAGAGCATCTATCTGTTGCTTGCTCTATACTATGCGGGATTTTGTTGGAGAACCGTAATCGTAAGTTGCCCTCACTGCCAAGACTCTCAACTGGAATTGCGGGGCCTTTCCGAGCGCGGTACCTTGACATGATAAACTCTATGTTTGTTAAACGTTAAATAAAAATTGCTGTGTAGCCCCTTGTACAATTATGTTTGCAGTATCGTGCTTCAGTACTATATTAATAGACTTGCGAATCTTCAAAAATTGGGTAGGTTGTTGGATAGGGTTTGTTGAGAGGGAGTTGAATAGATGTGCTGCACATGGAAGTATTGAATTATTTAAGGGAAGGAGGTATAAGTTATTGATCATTTATCAATCTTCGAAAATTGAATACAAGGGCAGTGAAGCATAATCAAAATATTGCCTCACCAAAGTAATGGCTGTTTATCACTGAACTTGAACAAACACACTTCGTATTGTCGCCGATGCTTTGTTGACCAAGCTTGAATATTTTCTTGCAAAGATGATTACTTTTACAGACCTTGAATTGTAGAACTATTGATCTAATCTGACACCCTCATGTAAAAAACTTGAATTGTCATAGGTCCTTAAACTTTTCAATGTCAAATTAGTGAATTGTTCCCCAAACCACTAATAATGATGTCATCGCATAATAATGAAAACACTTCCTGAGCTCGCTCAAAGGTCCCTTGCTGCTTGATCTTAGTAACATAGATTATACAGTACTGCGCGAATTCTTGTTTCAAAAGCATTATATTCAATCGAATCTGTACCGTAAAATTTGTGTTACGTTGAGCGTAAGAGCCTCAATATATAGTAGTGGATGAGTTGTCGATATTTGTTTGATCAATCGTAATAATGTATGTAATTTCAAAACTTGAATGTGAAGCGAGATCGAAATTTTCTGCGAGGAAGGTTCGAAACTTTTCATGTTCCATCGAGTTCAAATTCATACAATATAAATAGGTACTTAACGAATTGTTTTTGATCACTTAGTGGAACTTGTAGTAGTACAGTAATTAGCTACTCAAGGATTTTCTTTTAGTCAATTTATTGAAATCTCAGGAACATCGTAATCAACTTGTAGTGACTGCACAAAAACTCAGTTTGATAGTTCCTAACTAACTTTGTATGGCATTTGAAATCGTTGTTTCAGTTGCGTAGCAGTTTGTAACAACTAAAGACTCGCACATTCTGTTCTACACATATTTCACATCTACCTCGAAGGATTCGTGCCTCAATACAACATTATAATTTCAATGAGAATTTGTGTAAATATTTGAAATAATAACGGATGATAACCAGAATCATACATAAAACAAACATTCGGACTTGCACAATAGTATTTCAAATTTAAAAAAAGTTTTGAGGCTGGACATTTTTAGCTTAGTTTGGTTCTTTGGGAAAAACATTTAGATAAGGAGATGGGGAGCACTAATTGTCTTATTTCTATGAAATGTGAAGCAGAAGATAAATTAATTGGAAACAGATGGTGCTTTGAACCGCTACGTAACTGCAAAGAGATTACTGAACGACAATTTGTTTAAAAACTCAGGTTACTATGCTACACCTGTACTCTAGCTAGTTATGCTGGTGTTGTAGAGTTGGTGTAATTTCGCGAAGTTCAAACAATTGTGTGCGTATGCAGCTGAAGGTGATCCCGGTTAGCTCAAATCTACAGTTTTTCCCTTTTTGTTGGCGCGTTTGGGGAGTGCACGAGTTTTTCTCTTGTTGGGAGGAGTTGGAAGAAAGCTAGACAAAGCAGTATTGGGGGAGCTACCTGATGGACCAGCTGTTGGTTCGCCGGAACCAGACAAAAACGACGATGGGCTAAAATCAGATGGACCAAATTTGAGATCGGGAGTTGATTCCGACTCAGTAACTAAAACCGGGGATTTGAAGGGAGTATTCAAAGCCCGTGGAGTAAATCTGCTGATTTAATTCAAATCAGCAAAGAATTATTAACTACTAATATGCAAATGATGTACTTTACAGGTTTCTTTCGAGAGATTTGAGGTTTCTGATCGCCCTTGGTATCATTGCTAGCGTTGGTTCCCACGTCATACTCCTTACTACCAGTAGTTGGCGACACCTTGTTTGCCTAAAATGCAAGATATAAAAAGTTAAGCTATGAATATTTAATTACAAAATCCAACTTACAATGACTATATAAACAAGAGCTTCTTCGTCAAAGTCTTTCAAAAAGCCATGGAATTGATATTCTCGGCCAATCTGCAGGATTTTGGGAGTTCCGGCTAAGTTGCGAGTAGGCGGAATGCGGTATTGAACTGTGCATTGTTTAGCTTCTTTCGCCTTCAAACCAGAATTAGCTTTGAACAAAAACAGTTCGGATGCTGAACTTACAATAGGGTGGTAATCGGAGTGCAAAACGGTGACAACCGTTACAAATTTTCCTTCATCAGCAGGATTAGGTAAACAACCATTGGTTCTTGGTTCTGGAATCTTAGTAATAGCTTTAACGATCCCAACTCCAGTGACTCCAATTGAATCCACCAGATTACCAGTGAAGTTTGCAGAAGAACTGATCAATACTCTATCGGAGGCCTCAAAGAACAATATATCTTTGTTAGTTTCCTCGGAATTAGAAGGGAAGAAAGAACCTCTTAATAAATAGATGTTGCCGGGTTCAAGTTTGAATTGAGTGTGACTGAATCCTCTAGCAATAATTTCGTAACTCATTGATCGCTCTCTGTGAGCTCCTCCGCTGGTGATTGAAGTAGCGTAAGTTCTGTATTCTGCTCGCCACCCATTTTCTGGGGAAGTCTGGATTGTTCAAGAAACAATAATAGAATTAGTATGGCTCAACGATTGTGTTCAAGTAAGAAACAAACCTTCTTTTCGATTTCAAAGTTACCCGTCAAATACAAGCCATGTGTAGTTGATTCAGTTGGATCCGCCATCGGGAGTTGGGGAAAATTGGATAAATCTGCGGTTAATAGATGTGGAATTGGAGGGTAATGTGTATTTATAAGGCTTTTGCATTTTCGAAATCAAATTTTGAGGTTTCTAAATGGCTACATACTGAGATTGTATTCGAAATGTAGAAAGTGGGGATTAGGAACACTTCTGTAATGGAGAAGCAGTTAAGTTTGAAAAGCAGAGTAAACATAAAAGCGCTCCATGTCAATTGTTGATCTAGCTGATATTGATGATACAAGTGAAAAATAACTGAACAGACTTTATTGGCAAGAGTATTTGAATTGAGATTTGGATATTTCTCGGATTGACTGTGAATTTGTGTCGTAATGTTGGATGTGAGGTTATCAGTTTGGCCTTGGTTCCATTAGCAGCTTTATATCCATGGTATCTCATCCGTGATCCGGTAACTGAATTCAAAACCATTGTGTTCAGATTGGCCCGCTTTGCAAATATAATTTGAAGTTCCAAATTCTTATGAGTTATGGGGTTGCGGCTTGTTAATAAGATCTCTATGTAATGTAAGTAATAATATATAATATGCAATTGATAATTCCCAATTAGTTACCAGTTATCCACTATTCATTAATTGAACAAAAATCATTCGGTACGGACCTAACAAAGTATAAGCTTGGGATTCGAAGTAGTTGGCCTTGAAGTAGTTTGATAATTGCTCCTGCGAAAATCGACTAATTTGCTTGCAGGATTTGCCAAATCGCCACGAATGAAAATATGAGACCTTCATATGCGTAGTCGCTAGTTATTCACATTGACGTATTTGGTATTTAGTAATTCGATAATTCGAATAATGGAAGGTAAGGATTTGTAGCTGCTTTCAATCTTGTGCTACACAACATTACGTTAGTATTTTCTAATCCGCTTTTTGATTATCCCTGGTCGAGTTCACCTACTCTTTCGATATTGTTTCAATCAATGCTGAATCAAGTTAAGCTCGGGTATATCGCGATTAGATGGATCGAATGGATAATAAGTGAGATTTATTGATCATTAACTGAAGGTATATATTGTGCTGATTTTATTGATTTATTAGATTGCTGAGATGTTTATATAGAGGATCCTCTTATTAATATTAAATTGCAAACTTCAAACTCATTAAATCAGGTAGGTTAAATTAATAAATACGCAATATCAAGTTGAATAGCTAGTTACGAATCTTATCAAATGACGAACCTTGGTCTATGCTTGTTGATTTTGATGGTAAGTTGTTTCATCACTACTGGATTCCTATTTTCCGAAAATAATTCTTAATAACAATAGCCTCATGAGCTGGATATGAAGGTTGGTGGATACTTGGATGCAGTGATATAGATGTACTTCGAGTATTAAAGTACTTAGTTTAGCGTATTAGAGAACAGGTGAAAGACGGCTGCTCGTACTATTCGTGGTTTCGTGAATGAATTTGAGAGCAGGTCACAAGGTAATTGCAGATGTCGACATAATTTACGTTTGTACATTTGTATAGATATTAATCTAACCCTAATTCCCGGTCTGAAACAGTCCTATAAACCCAAAATTTAGTCATTTACGTTACTTACATTATTTACTACCAAAATGCCTTAGTTGTTAGCCTTTGCATTTTTATTAAAGCTTCAGAGTTTTCCAATTAGTTGTGGATTTAATTACAGGAACATAACTATTTTGCTTATATATTCTGATAATCGTAGTTTTTAATGTATTTATTTTTTGTCACAATATATTGGGTATAGTAGACGAATAGAAAGAAAGCAAGTGCAACATGTGATCTTAAGCACGTTTCTCCACCATGGTGAGGTGCACGGCCGTGCATGACGGATGGATCTGCAATAATATCCTCCACCCAGAATATATCTAACCTTAAGTCCGAAGCCGTAAGCTCTAAGCTCAACGGTTTTGGTATTACAGTATCTCACTATAAGGCTGTCAATCATAATTCAATTGATACCCGTGTTTGTCGTTAGCTTGTTTTGATTTCCTTGATTGGGATCCCCTTTGGATTTTACTCTAACTCCTGATTCTATTTCACAATTTGGCATTACATTCAAAGTTTAAATTGCAAAACATTTTGAATTGATCTGCAGCAGGGAGATTATGGAAAAAATTTAGATCAGATCACAACATTACTTTATACCATTTGCTACATGATGAACTACTGGTGGCTAATAAAGAAAGACTGAAATTAGGCACTATCTCAAATTAGTGAAAGGAATATGGTTCTACATGAGCAACATATGTAAAAGACTTGTGCTAATTGCACAACTTGAAAGCTACGCTCCTTGCCACAATTCGTGTAATATGCCTAGTAAGAAAAATTGGTACGGTGTTTATTGATGTACCAAAGTCTTCAAAATGTAATGTACGTGGATTAAACCGCGTTTTTGGAATTCAGGAACAATTTTGAAGACAACAATTTCGAACTGCTGACGTCCATTGCCACGCTCTGATTGAGACTCATGGGAACTGTTCACGTAATTGATGACTGATGCACAAACTTGTGAGTTCAGCGGATTTGTTGCATGTGATGTAGTGCTAACGGAGAATTGTTTTGAAAAAATTGCTTACCTATATTGCTTAAAAAATCAAGCTCTCTTATAAAGAAAGTACTATTGCTCTTACCGACAGAGTTTATACTGTAACTGCTGAGTAAACATACATAAAAAAAGTTCAACCGGGAATTTAAGTAAATATTTAAGATGTATTTATATATCATGATTAGAAGCGAACTCACGAATTAAATAATAAGGTGAATAAAGCCATTTCTTCACACTGAATTATTGTGCAAGATGCATGATCAGCATTTCCTGGTGTGGTGTGTGTAACTACAGGGCGAGCCAAAGTTATTATCCTCATTTCCGGTAATTTGTACTTGAAAAACTCAATCATATAGCTAAAATTTGGGTTGTGTTTAGATTGTTTCTTTATAATTTTATAGAATTGGGTGTAGAGGGCTTGAGAGCAAGAAACTATGTTGTAATCAAAGTCTGTTGTTTCAAAAAGTGGCATTTCAAATATAGATACGGCTGTTGATCTACAATATTGGAAGTATGTAGGTGACTGATAGTATATATAGAGTCAATTAGAAAAGGTGGAATACTTCGATGTTGGGAAGAGTGATGAGAAACTGATACTTGATTCTCGTCTTGAGTACTTAAGTTTCGTTAAAGAGTGATTGAAACAATTGTTGTGAGACTTTCTTTACGATGATGTTCATATCCGCTATTTATTGAATTGGACTGGTGCTATGAATCACAAGACCTGACGGAGCAAATAGTTAGTCGATCATTTATCATTTACTGCGGTTATGAGTTAATAACTTATACTATATTATATTGTATGAAATTATATACTCGATTTAGCTGATTTAGTTAGGTTGTGAAGGATTGTACACGCGTATGTGCTTGATTTGAAGATTTTGGTGCTATATACAGAGTGATATTTTGGTTGATCGGGTGATTTTTATTGTTGTGAACGTATAGGTGGATAAAGTTGAGTACTGAGAAGATTGGCTGTGGTTTAAATTCGGCTGAAGTAAAAGGGAGTAATTTACATAGTGCGCCGCTATTTGTATTTAAGAAGATTGATTGATGATAGTCAAATATGATCACATATGAAGGAAATCAAGATGATGTTAACTACTCGAGGGTCAAAGGGGGTGTGTAATAGAGGCAGAAGATAAATTGGTTGTTGGAATCTTTATGTGTAATATGGGTGTAGTAGTGTTATTAGCAGTGGGTTGTTCAAATTCCAGTAATTTATAGATCCTGAGATACATCTAGTAGGGAGGATGTGATTGTGATGGAGGAGAAGTGGGGACTACTACGGGCGGGGGAACTTCAACATAAGAAATTGTACGGGAAAATACTGTATCAATTTCAATGTACAGGAAGATACTGTATCAATTTCAATGTACAGGAAGATACTGTGTTAGTCTTAATTGAGTAAAATTTGTCAATTGTGTATCTTCGGCTATTTTGACTGCTAAGAGTTGGACAGCTTTGGGGATGCGAAAAACATTCATTAGGACAATTTTGATTGTTATTCAGGGCAAGGTTAATAAGAGCCGTGTCTTCCGTTAAATCCTCAACATGGAATAGCATCAGCGGGTAAATCTTCATATGAAGGAACAAGAAGGGAACACAATATAAATTTTAGTCATATTTGTCAGTTAGTTACGGAAATCTTTGATGTAAAAGAGCGTATCAGTAAAAACAGTATAAATTTTAGTTGAATATATCAGTTAGTTGGATTTGTTAATGGTTTATTTTGTAAATAGTCACTTTAATTTGATTCTGTTGTTCAGGTTTAACTTGTAATGATAAGGGATACAATATCCTGAGAATTTGATACATTTTCAAGAGACATCCAAGTGATCCTTTTGCAAGACTTTGGATAGAGGGAATCAAGTATTTAGAAGTTTTTTTTTTAAAAAAAAATGCTTTGATTTCACATTTTGCACTAGCTATCTCTGTAATGTGTAATGTAACTATCTTACAAACTTCTTGTGTATCTACTGTACTGTTCCGGTCTAGCAAGCCTTCACATCAGTTCTTTATGAAAATTTAGCGCCCAAAATTTGTACAATGAAGGAAAGAAAAATTAGAAAAAGAAGATAGATCATAAAGAAAGTAAATTTTGGCATAGGTATTTATCTAATTTGTTTATTTTTCTGGGTATGTTTTTAAGTGGATGAATCTGTTTGTTTCTTCTATGAAATTTGCTAAGTATGGGAATACCGCCGGTGTATCTAATAATCTAATTGCTGAGTTGATATCAACTTTTATTTTCTCTTCTTTGATTTTTCTTCTACACGTTTGTTGTTGTTTATTGAACCGTCTGCAAAAGATTAGAAAATGCTGCGATGTTTCTTTCACTTTGCATGTCTCGCATCTATCATCTTCTTTGGCCCCTATTTGGTGTAGGAAATGTTGGAGTGGGCTGTGTCCGCATCTTAATTGAAAGATTGCGGCTGCTTGACCCTTTTCCAGCG